AATTATCTTAGTGAAACAAAGGGGAAGGGGGACACATTGAAGGGAATTGATCAAAACGGGAGCAGACAAAATCTGGAGCAGCTGAGCATGACAACCAATCAGCTTATCTCTTTCATTTTCAAATCTTAACTGAAGAGTGAAGCGGATCGGTTGCTATGGGCAACTGCTTCAGATTTTGTCTGCTCCAGTATCGATACAGTTCCCTCATTATTTCTTGAAGCACTTTAGGCCTTGTTCACACCAAGCGCGTTCCAGGAGCAGAGCTGTTACAGACCGGAGCAAAACTGCGTCCAATGTATTCCGATGGTATTTTTAGCTCCAGTTCACATTGCAGCGCTCCGTTCCAGAGCAGGTAAAAAAACTGCAGAAAGCCCTATTTTACCTGCTCTGGAACGCATGCAAACGCCCTGGAACGCACTGAAAGCCCATTTTAATTAGGTTATTTTAATTTTATTTATATCAGCACAAGGTAGTGGGGCGATTCCAGGATCTGGAATATGAATCAGCTGAGTGAAGTGTTAATTAATAGTGTTCAGTCATCTCACCAGCTCATTGTAAATCAATTTCTCACTAGGTCATATTTTATTTCCGGGTTTTTTTATAGCACCAACATATTATGTAATATTTTACAGAGTAGATAGCTATATGTACATCATTTTTACATCAGTGCTTGCTCACCCAAGGAGCTCACACTCTAACCTCCAACCACACTCATTCATACCCTGGTGCCAATTTTGGAAGAAAGCGATTTAACCTACCAGTATGTTTTTGGAAAACCCATAGAGAGTATACAAGTGTCAAGATGATAGTGCCATTGGCAGGACCTAAAATGTGTGCAGAACTAAAACATTTCTTTTTAGTGTTAGACAAAGTCCCTTTGAACAGGAAAGGGTTAAAACCCATCAAGTTTTTTTTTTTGCCGCCTGTGTCCAACAGGAAACGAGAGGGAATACCTTCATAGTGGGGGAAATCTACCTCTTAGGGTATATTCACACTTTCTGTTTTGGGATTCCTGCAGCAGCAATCCCAAATGTCAAGTTTAGATGTGGCCGCTGTCACCCATTCAAGGTAATGACCGGGTAACAACGGCAGCATCTGTAAGTGGCACTTCACTTAAATCGTATCATATATGATTACATGCAGTTTGGAACAGATCACTAAAGCTGGACGCACAATAGATGCATACGATTACATGCGCTTACAGATGCGGCCGCTGTCACCTGGTCAATAACTTGAATAGGTGACATCAGCCGCATCTAAATGGGAGATTTGGGCTTCCTGCCGTAGGAATCCCAAACTGCAAAATGTGAATGAGGGGTTACACAGTCGTCACCGGAACAGGTGCCCCCACCAGAGTATTTAACACTAATTCTGTTTCTTTTTTTTTTACAGACAGCAGGGGTTCCAATACTTCCACACTGCAACCAAATAAAAAAGGTTTTGGATATAGAGCACTTTTCCCTTTAAATATAGGACCCAAGGCCGCCTCATGCAATTAGAATGAAGCTCTTTAAGGGAGAATGTGCTTTGCATACTCAGGGTAAGGAAAGGTTGACTGTAACAAAGCTCTCGCTAGCAGCATGCACTTACCTCCCTTTCACTCCCCTGCTGCTCTGTTCAGTCCAATGTAAGCTACAAGTCCTGGAATTATGACTTACACAGGTCTATGGGCTGACTGGCCCAGCTCTGTACCATTGAGCAGTTGCATTCTCCTCCACACCTGAAGCGCAAGTATCTCATTCAGCTCCCAATCCAGAAGCAACAAAAGGAGCGAATGAAAGGTAAGTATATGCTGATGGGGCAGGGGAATTAATGGCAAGCCATTGCTTTTTCACTGAATGAGCAATGTGAAGGCTCTTTTAAAGTACAATGCTAAGGTAAATTAAGATTTGTTTTATGCTTTGGAAAGATTAGAACCTCTTGTTTCTCCATCCACACAGAGATTTCCCTTCTCTTCCTGTCCACAATACAATAAGAAACAAGTGAAAATCTTCCCAAAGTGAGAGAAATCCCACTTTTAACAGATGACATAGAAACCGGCGTCCCCACTGGTAGATTTCTCCTCCTGTTTCAGTAAAAACCTCGATTTCCCCTTATTTTGTGTCCCTGTGACAGCAACCAGGACAAATAGTGGCAGTGGACCTCGCCCTCACCAATAAAAACCAGACAGACGTTCTAAGCAAAAACAAGAAGAAAATGTTCTGTCTGGATTTCTACTTGAAAACAATACTCCCGATTTCATGAGTCCGCCATATGTCGAGAGCAACATGGAGCATGCTCACATTGCCCAACTCCCACCCTTAAACTGATCCTGAATCATGGGGTTCTTCTCTCCGCAAGATTCTGTATTCATTTGAATTTGTCGTAGTTGTGTGCGGCTCCACCCACACCGCCATGTCATTTATATATCTGTAATTGGAAGACTTCATGTCCCATGTTCCACAGCAGCAGAGGGACTCGTAGTTCTCAATGGTGCACAAGTGCCATGACACCAGTCAGTCCTAAAATCAAAAGGTCTGTACCTCGGTCTGCTGCCGGGGTAGGTATATTGTACTTCCGATTGTGGTTGCAATGCTTTGCAGGCTCAAATGCAAAAAACAACAATAAATGTGCAATAATGTGAGTGCATTTTTTTTCTTTTTGGGAGGGGATTGGGACTATGCCTTTAATTTTGGTTCACTTGCTAAAAAAAATAAAAAAATCTCCAAATGTTACAAAACATAATGCGGCTTTACCTAGGATAATATGGCAACACTGTATAATCTCTGTACAAATATAATCCAAAATGTATCTTCTAGAACTGCAGTATCAACTCCCTGTTGTAAACATCACATGCAGAAATCACCTGGGACTTATCCTGGAGGTGGAGAAACCTTGAAATCCCTAGATAAATCAGAATACACACATGTACTGCTTTGCCTTCATTCTAAAATGACTGCCCGATTTCACACCAGTGACAGGTGGAGAAGTGTAGGAAGGCCGTGCCACAGAAACCATCTGTCCAACATAGACACCAAGCAGCTGTTTGCTGGGACTATCATGGAGGAGGTCTTGCTTAGCTCTCTATACAAAATACAGGCTCTATAAAATGTATGAAAGGAGGCAAAAGAAAAAAAAAAAAAGAAGAAGCCTAAAGAACTGAGGCTAAATCAGGACATCCTGTCTTGAATTGTATTGTAATTGTAAAGTCTTCCTTACATTGTAAAGCGCTGTGCAAACTGTTGGGCGCTATATAAATACTATGTAATAATAATAATAATAATTTGCTGGAAACATTCCGTGCTAGGACACTAGATTCTCTTTAAATGACTGGACAGGATTAAATGCATACAGCCTCATTAACATGTATGACTAATGGCCAAACAATGCTCTTACAAGGTGTTGCATGTCTTATGTCAGTCGATAGTGACACACGGAGGACACAATACAAGAAACATACTCATCACACAATCAATGTCTCTAGTCACTTATAACGGATAACTTTTTGAAACAAAAGAAGAAAAATGATTTTTTTCAATCTGGAAATAATGAGACATGGAATGTATTCCTTTACAGTTCTATGACCATCTGTGTGCACCATAACCTTAGAGGGTCACTTTCACCAAATGAGATGTGCTACGTGGACAGCTGCGGGATGGGAACCAACATGGCTTTTGCAACGACAGTCTTTTTAAGGCTGGCTGGACAAATAAAGTAAAAAAACCTTGATCAAAGCGGAAAACCCCTTTAAAATATATCTAAGCTTTTTTCCCCCCGATTTTGGATAGAGTAAGAAAATCTCACCACGTCTGTGTCTCGGTGAGATTTTGCTTCACTTCCTGTCAAGTTAGACTCAACAGGAAGTGAGAGAATGGTCTTTCCACCATGGGGGAAATCTTCATAAGAGTCCCTAGGGGAAGATTTCTCTTCTGCAGTGGTGGCAACGCACTATGTTGGGATTTACCCTCACTTTTTCCCGGTGACATTTATTTTATTACAGGTATTTACGCAGCGCTGGCCATGTACCCAATGCTGTACATCAGGCGTAGCCAAACTCCGGCCCTCCAGCTGTGATGGAACTACAAATCCCATGAGGCATTGCAAGATTCTCACAGCCACAGACATGATTCCCGGAGAGAGAGAGATGCATCATGGAATTTGTAGTTTCACCACAGCTGGAGGGCCGGAGTTTGGCTACGCCTGCTGTACATTCACATCAGTCCCTGACCTCAAGGTGCTCGCAATCTAAGGTCCCTACCTCACACACATATGGGGCCATTTTAAACAGGATCCAATGAATCTAGCAGTCTGTCTTTGGAGTGTGGGAGGAAACCCACACAAGCACACGATGATCATGCATGCTCCATGCAGACCGTATCCTGGCGATTCGAACAGAGACCCCAGTGCTGTAAGGCAGAAGTGCCAGCCAGTAAGCTGCTGGCCTTCCCATTGACATCAGTGATCAGGACAAATATGAGAGGCAACACGAATGGCAATAAAAACCTGACAGTGGTTCTACCCCCTCATCACTCTATCCACATCTAAGTAAAAGTTCTGCTTTTAGTTATCCTTTAGCGAGTTGCTTAAAGTACACTTGTCATGAGAGAAAGCAAGCAGCAAATGCAAAAACCAAAAAGTCAAGACTCATGTCTCTACACCTCTTCTGCATCAGTAGCTCAAAGTATTGAAGTGAAAGCCAGGAAACTGGTATTTTCAGAAGAAAAGGTCCGCAATGGCAGCCTACAATCTCATGAGAGGTCCTTTAAGAAGGCAAATATAAAATCGCCCCCACACCTCCCATTTAACAATATAAAACATACAAGAAACCCCACACACACTACAAAGATATATACATAGACTATGTAGCCGTATATATACTCAGAGCAGAGCATTCCAACAGGTGCTACTTGTACTGGCCACACCAAGTCGCTTCATAAGCTATTGACACACGGCTAGCCTCTTCACTCCTTCCAGTAAACAGCATTCAAACCACGAGAAAGCAAACAATAGGATTTCCATACCTCCGTTTCCCCCATAAAGGAAGCAGCTTTGATCCGTACAGTGAAAAAGAGATCCAGAGAAAAATGTAGCAATATCCTTTGGCAAACCTGCTGGCACACACAATATCCTGATTGCCTGCTTTTCTTTTACTTATGTGTTTTGTGAGGCATGCTGACTCAGACGGGTGGGAAGGTGCTATGCAAAACAGGTAAACACCACGCTGCAACCAATAGGACGGCCTGCCGTCTGACTCATAGCTCATGAGCTTCCACACATTAATCCGTGGCTTCAAAAGGAAGAAAAGGAAGTGAAAGGATGCACGACTTTGCCAACATCTTCTAACACACACCTCCTACATAGCACAGACAGCGCACAGTGCTGATGGAAAGCAAGTCCCAGGAATACAAGCCTGCCTTTGTCATGTGACCCACAATCCAGACAGCTTCCACTGCCCATCTACAACAGGGGATCAATTTCAAGTCTAAGCCAGATACAAAAATGACTTGGATTTCCAAACAGGTCCGGAGGTTATTCTATGATAAGAGAGCTTCTCTCATCTGCCATTCGGATACCTTATATGCAGCATTATTAAAGAAGAACTCCAGGCAGATGAACTCAACCCTTGCAATGGAGCAACTCCCTAAACTGCAAGGGTCTAGGGTAGGGATGCACCGATACTGTTTTATTGGTATGGGGTACGAGTACCGATAGTTTTTTCCGGTACTCGCCGATACCAAGTACTGAGTACCTGCGCCCCAATTATCAGGAAGTCAGGCGGCAGATGACCTGTCGCCCAGCTTCCTGATTGCCCGTGTTCTAGCGAAAAAACAATGGCTTCACTTGCTGAGGCTGCATGGCTTCCTGACCAATCGGGAAACCCGGCAGCGAGTCATGAGGTGCCATCCAGCTTCCTGATTGGTCAGGAAGCCAGGTTGCCTAGCAACAAGTGAAGCTGGCTTCCTAGCCAATCAGGAAGCCAGGTGGCACGTCATGACCGATCTCCCGTCATAAGCCACCGCCCCAGCTTCCTGATTGTAAAGGAAGCCAGCTTTACTTGTTGCTAGACAACCTGGCTTCCTGACCAATCAGGAAGCCGCTCATTACGTGCCGCTCGCCTTCCTGATTGGTTAGGAAGCCAGGCTGCCTAGCAACAAGTGAAGATGGCTTCCTAGCCAATCAGGAAGCTGGGAGGCGGGTCATAACCCACCACCCCGCCTTCCTTATTGGAAAGGAAGCCAGCTCCATGCCCCCTCGGCACTGCCAGTCAGAGGGAGAACTTCCGGTATCAGAAGTATCGGAGCATTTGGGTCACCCAAATACTCTGTATCGGCACTGATACAAGTATCAGTATATCCCTGGTCTAGGTTGGTGGAGGAAAAAAAAAAAAGGAAGGATATACCCACCCGAACCACAGCCCTGCCTGGCTGCTAGACTAGTCCCTGCAGCCTCTCTCCCCCTCTGGGGGGGGTCCCCTGGGTCATCATGTATAATACAGTGTATTGGACATGAGGATGCCAAGGGACGTGGAGGGGAAGAGAGGCTGCAGGGACCAGTTTAACAGCCAGGCAGGACCGAAGAGCGGGTGAGTACTTCTTTTTATTTGACGCCCTAGACCAAAATGAGTACCTCACCCTTGCAGTGCAGGGGTGGCCCCACTGCAAGGACTACATTTTATTCTGCCCGGAGTGGTTTTTTAATGTTACAAAAAGGAATTAAAGTGTAACTGTAGTTTTTTTTTAGTTTTGCATAGAGTGAAGAGGAATTGGAAGACCCATCAGGTTTTTAATGCCGCCTGTATCCACGGGAGATTCACCCTCTCCATTTTTCCTGGATACCCAAATTTTAGGCTGTCACCACAACAGGAATAGATGGGATCACTAGTTATGCTGACCACCAGGGATTTTCCTCTCTTTGGAAGGGTTTATTAATTATAACCCTCCCTTACTCTATCCAAAAAAAAAAAAAAGTTTAGATTTAATTTAACATGTATATAAACCCAAGCAGAAAAATAACATATTGCAGCTGACCAGTCCTCAGATGTGGTGCCATTCTCTTTCCATCTTTCCTCCCTTTATTTTCACCTGGTGGTCCTGCCAGTAACACACTTCCTGCCGTGGGATGACAACGCTCACTCAGTGCACTGCATGAATGGAGAAGCAGCGTTGTTACCCAAGGATAGCGAGTATGGTAGGACTACAGAACACCTCCCTGTCTAAACGCCAGAATAAGAATTTGTTCTGGAGGTGATTTGAAGAGAAATTGTTAGGGTTTATGTATACGTTAAACTGTTCCTCAAAATAATAAAACCCTCATAATAAGCTTATTTTCAGCAGAAATGGCCATCAAACATCTAGTGCACTTTGGGCGTCCACGCACTTCTCTTTACACATTTCAGCTTTATCAGGAGGTCACAAATGATACTAGAAGTCACAGGAATGATTATGATTGTTGTCACTTAAAGCGGACCTTTACACTCAAAAATCAAAAATTGTACCAATGTATCACTCTATGATTGATGATTAATAACAGATAACAGATCTTTCAGGAGATCTCAGTGAAAGGAATTTTCCTCCCCTGAGATGATGTGCATGGTCACATGTCCTAGTCACATGTGCCAGTAACCCAGGAAGTACAGGGAGAGTTAGTTACCTGCCCTTAGTAAACATGGCCACTGTCTGACTGGGGAAGAAAAGAGAAATAAGGTATACGAAGAATACAAAGCCGGCAATTATCTAGAAAGATGTGTTTGTAGATTGTCAGTACTAAACATTTCTAAAAGGTGTGTTTGTTGTTATTTTAAAGATCTGGGTAAAGGTCCACTTTAATACAAAGGGAGATCATTGCATTACAGTGCCCAATAGACTTGTAGTATTCACTAACTGTATATAGCCTTACAAAGACCCCATAGGCTATATGTGACATATGGTTGTCTTTATAAAACAGTACATAAAAAAAAAAAAAAAAAAGCAAGTTTAATATTTATTACAGTCACACCCTGCCCATTTTATCTGTACAGTACAATTATGGGCCGACATGACTGTAGATAACAGATCCAAAGTTTATATTGTCATTTATGGCTTCATTGCAGTATAAACTTCACATAAACATCATACAAAAACCGTCTCAGGATAAGCTATATAAATATATGGTTTCTGATGTATGGTATGGTATACATGTATGCATGGTAGATTGGGTGTGGAAGATGACACCAAATTATAGTGTGACCCAGTACTGCCAACTACAGCAGGGAATTTCCTTACAATAAAGCTGAACGTCAGGCAAACCGCTAAAACACTTGGCTGAAATACATTTATATAGGAGTCATTTTACCTGCACAGGGGGATTTTTAAAAGGCTGGTACCAAGTCACCTTCACAAGTATAGCTGCTTTTCAAAATGTATTTTTTTTAAAAATACACAATTATATTATTTATATTTTTATACCTGATCACCTGGGTGATCTTTAAGCGGACCTTTAGGGCCCATTCACACCACATCATCTCCAGACCAGACCGTTTCCAGACCAAAAATGCATCCTAATATATCCCTATGCTAATTTCTGGCCTCTGTTCCCACCAGCGCAGCCAGTACCAGGCCAGACCAGAAAAACACTGCAAGTCTCATTTTGTCTGGTCTAAAATGCACTGGAACTGTGGGCAGGTTCACACCATTTTTCCAGACCACATCTAGTCTGGAAAATGGTGTGAACCTGCCCTTACCCATATCTTTAAAAAAACACCTTTAGAAATGTTTAGTAATGACAAATCTACAAACACATTGGCTCTCCTATTACTTCCTTTATTTCTGGCACATGCGACTAGGACAGCAATATCTCATCATTTATCTAATCTGTGACTTCTGGGGAAAACATAAATTACACACCAGAAAATAAAACCAGAGCAACAAAGCACCATCCAACCAGGAAGCTTCAGGGAAAGAAATGCTGCAAGGGTAGACACTGGTAAACTCTTTTCCATCAGTAATACTGTTTGTGACCTTCAGACAACTCTTGTACTTCATTTCATAAAGTAATATGTGAAGGACTATAATCTCAATACCAAGTAGTAAACCAAATGCGAGATTGTTGCCCATCACAGGAGTGAGCTTGGGGCGGTGACTACTTTACAACACACACAGGATCATGGGGAACAAAAGTAACCACCCTCCAAAGGGGACAGTGTCAGCACCAATTCAGAGATGATTTGAGGATCTACAGCTGAGTGATACACAAATAAGATACACCGTTGTTAATAGTTAGGGAACTTGAATGCATTTTTGAGATTTAAAGTGACATTAAACCCTCAGATTTTTTAACATAAACCAATACTGTAATGTGTGCCTTACTGTAATCCATGGTAGTTTCCCTTCTCTTTGCTGCTCTTCCTTTTAAATCCTCATCTCTTCTCATGCTTGGGTAGAACTTCCCTTTTCAGCTCAGGGCCTCTTCCTGTAGTGCTGGCTCAGGTTACATCCTATACAAACATATACACAGACACCGTGTATCCATTCCAGAGACAAGGCAGTCTGCTGCAAAACAGAAGTTCTGCCCAGCATGAGAAGAGATAAGGATTTAAAAAAGGAAGAGCAGCAAAGAGAAGGGAAACAACCATGGATTACAGTAAGGCACACATTACAGTATTGTTTTATGTTAGAAAATCTGAGGGTTTAATGTCACTTTAACTCCTGAGTTTAGTGTCACTTTAATTACAGTCATCATATGTTGCAAAGTTAAATTCGCTTTTAGCAAAATAATATTGCTGCAGTAGTCTTAAGCACCATTTTCAGTGCAGTAAATTGTATTGAACGTGAATATAAATGTATCAGAGACATTAAAAGAGAAGAAATAAACATGGAATCTTACCCTAACACTTGACTTGGCAGATATTCAGAGCCTGTGGAAGTGATCAGGCGGCTCTACATATGTAAACAGACTCCTGGCCGCTATAGCAACCAGGAGTCTGCTTACAGGGCCCCGCTGACATATGTCTGCTTCAGCAAAGGGGGTAAAGCATTAAGGGTATTTTAAACTACCGGTACCTCAGTATGTCTTCATATTAGCCTTCTGCATTTCACTATGTCTTCATATTAGCCTTCTGCATGTCAGTATGTCTTCATATTAGCCTTCTACATTTCACTATGTCTTCATATTAGCCTTCTACATTTCACTATGTCTTCATATTAGCCTTCTGCATTTCAGGACGTCTTCATATTAGCCTTCGGCATTTCACTATGTGTTCATATTAGCCTTCTGCATTTCACTATGTCTTCATATTAGCCTTCTGCATTTCAGTACGTCTTCATATTAGCCTTCTACATTTCACTAAGTCTTCATATTAGCCTTCTA